ATTGATCTATATTTCTGTTTTTGTGCCAGTACCATACCGTCTTGATTACATATCACTGATGAACATAGATGCAAAAATCGTCAACAAAATACTAGCAAACAGAATCCAACAGCACATTAAAAGGATCATACACCATGATCAAGTGGAGTTTATCCCAGGAATGCAAGGATTCTTCCATATACGCAAATCAATCAGCGTGATACACCATATTAACAAACTGAAGGAGAAAAACCATATGATCATCTCAATAGATGCAGAGAAAGCTTTTGACAAAATTCAACACCGATTTATGATAAAAACCCTGCAGAAAGTAGGCATAGAGGGAACTTTCCTCAACATAATAAAGGCCATATATGACAAACCCACGGCCAACATCATCCTTGATGGTGAAAAACTGAAAGCATTTCCACTAAGATCAGGAAGAAGACAAGGTTGCCCACTCTCACCACTATTATTTAACATAGTGTTGGAAGTTTTAGCTACAGCAATCAGAGAAGAAAAAGAAATAAAAGGAATCCAAATCGGAAAGGAAGAAGTAAAGCTGTCACTGTTGGCAGATGACATGATACTATACATAGAGAATCCTAAAGATGTTACCAGAAAACTACTAGAGCTAATCAATGAATTTGGTAAAGTAGCAGGATACAAAATTAATGCACAGAAATCTCTTGCATCCCTATACTAATGATGAAAAATCTGAAAGAGAAATTAAGGAAACACTCCCATTTACCATTGCAACAAAAAGAATAAAATATCTAGGAATAAACCTACCTAAGGAGACAAAAGACATGTATGCAGAAAATTTTAAGACACTGATGAAAGAAATTAAAGATGATACAAATAGATGGAGAGGTATACCATGTTCTGGAAGAATCAACATTGTGAAAATGACTGTACTACCCAAAGCAATCTACAGATTCAGTGCAATCCCTTTCAAACTACCACTGGCATTTTTCACAGAACTAGAACAAAAAAATCACACAACTTGTATGTAAACACAAAAGATCCCGAATAGCCAAAGCAATGTTGAGAAAGAAAAATGGAGCTGGAGGAATCAGGCTCCCTGACTTCAGAATATACTACAAAGCTACTGTAATCAAGACAGTATGGTACTGGCACAAAAACAGGAATATAGATTAAGTTCATTTTTTAATAGTTTTTTCACTTTCAGGTTGGATAATTTCTACTGACATACTTTCAAGTTCATTGAATCTTTCTTTTCTCATCTCTAGTATGCTGTTAAACCCATTCAATGAGGATTTTTAAATTTCAGATAACTGCATTTTAGAGTTCTAGAGTTTTCTTTTGGTTCTTACAGTTTCTCATTTTCTGCTGAGATTTCTCATCTATGCATTTATTATGACATTTTCCTTTATGTATTTGAACATAAATAATAGCTGCTTCAGAATCCTTTGCTGCTAGTTTTAATGTCTGAACCATTTCAGGCATTGCCTTTTCTCTTGATTATGGGTCACATTTTCTGTTTCTTCATGATTCTTGTAATTTTGGGTTTTTTTCTGGACACTGTGAATGATAGATACATTGTAGAGACATTATTCCACTGTGTTCTTCCAAAGTGTATTAATTTTTGTTTTATCAAGCAGTTAACTTGGCAGAACTCAGATTCCAAACTCTGTGTCCCCCTTGACAAAAAGTGTCTAGTTCTTTTTGCCTTAGCTGGGCTTTAGTCTGTCATAAGCATGCTTAGTTAAGGGGTTAGCCAGAGATTTGGGCAGAGTTTATTTGCAGAATTTGGGGTTCCCCTTTTGTAGTTCTTTTTCTGAGATTTTCCTTTCTTACTTTCCAGCTGCTGCTGTTCTCCCACACTGTGCTCTGAGTCCTCAGTAACCTTGCAGCACCAACTGGCATCTTCCCTCGGAAAAAATGCCATAAAAGTGGCAGTCTAACCCTGCCATTCTCCATTCTGTCAGCTCCTTTCTGATTTGGTTGCTCTCCAGTGTCTTGGGATTGTTGTTTGATTATATTTTGTGTAGACTTTATGTTATCTGCAGGAGGGTTGGTTTGATAGAAAGTACCACAGTATTAATGGGAGTAGAACTCCTTGCATAGCTTTTTTTTTTTTTTTTTTTTGCAGTACGCGGGCCTCTCCTGTTGCGGAGCACAGGCTCCGGACGCACAGGCTCAGTGGCCATGGCTCACGGGCCTAGCTGCTCCGCGGCATGTGGGATCTTCCCAGACCGGGGCACAAACCCGTGTCCCCTGCATTGGCAGGTGGACTCTCAACCACTGCACCACCAGGGAAGCCTCACTTTAGCCATTTTTAAGTATACCACTCAGGGGCATTGATTGCATTTACAGTCTTGTTCATTGGTTACCACTGTCTATACCCAAAACTTTTTCTTACCCAAACAAACTCTGTGCCCCAAAAGCAGTACATCCCCACTCCCTCTCCCCAAGCCCCTGGTGTCCTCTTACACTTTTGTCTCTATAAATTTGCCTGTTCTACATATTTCACATGAGTGGAATCCTGCAATATTTGTTTTTTTGTGTCTGGCTCATTTCCGTTTTAGCATAATGTTTTCAAGTTTCATCTGTGTTGTAGAATGTATCAGAATTCTTTTTAAGTGTGAATAATATTCCATTGTATGTTCACACTACATTTTATTCATCTGTTGATGGATATGTTTCCACATATTTGCTGTTGTGAATAATGAATGCTGTTATGAACATGGATGTACAAGTATCTGTTTGAGTTCCTACTTTGATTTATTTGGGGTATATACCTGTAAGTGGAGTTGCTGGATCAGATGGTAATTCTTTAACTTCTTGAGGAACTGCCAAACTGTTTTTCCACAGTGGCTATACCATTTTATATTCCCACTAGCAATGTACAAGTTTCCAGTTTCTAAAAATTCTTACCCATATGTGTTATTTTCCTTTTATTTATTGTCTATTATTATAGTCATCCTAGTGGGTATCAAGTGGTATCTCATTGTGATTTGGATTTTCATTTCTCTAATGACTAATTATGTTGAGTATCTTTTCATGTCCTTGTTGATGGTTTATATATCTTTGGAGAAATGTCTACTCAAGTCTTTTGCCCATTTTTTGAGTTGTCTTTTTATTGTCTTGATATATTCTGGCTATTAAATGCTTATCAGACATAGTTTGCAAATATTTTTTCCCATTCTGCAGTTTCTTTTCACTCTGTCTTCTGATGCACAAAAGTTTTTGATTCTGATGAAATCCAGTTTATCTAGTTTTTCTTTTGTTGCTTATGCTTTTGGTGTCGTATCTTAGACTTGTTGCCAAATCCAAGGTCATGAAAATTTACCCGTTTTCTTCCAGGAGTTTTATGGTTTTAGCTCTTATGTTTGTTTTTCATCCATTTTGTGTTAATTTCTGTATATGGTGGGAGGTAGGGATGCAACTTTACTCTTTTGCATGTGGAAATCCAATTTTCCCAGCAGTATCTGTTGAAGAGATATTCTTTCCCCCATTGATGGACTTGACACCATTGTCAAAAGTCAGTTGGCCATATATGTAAGGGTTTATTTCTGGATGCTCAGTTCTATTCCATTAGTCTCTATATATCTACCCTAAAGCCAGTAAGTTTTGAAATTGGGAACTGTGTATGCTCCAACTTCGTTTGTTTCTTTTTCAAGATTGTTTTGGCTCTTCAAGGCCTCTCACATTTTCATATGAACTTGAGTATTGGTTTTTCTATTTCTACAACTGTATAAATTTTTTTAACTTGCATTTTGGATTCTGATTATTTTAGAGATTTATTCATGTTAATACAGACATTTAATTACTTAATGGATTATAAAGAAGTGTCTAAACACTTTATTAATAAACAATGTTTTGCTTTTATAAGGAATGCCACAATGAACATTCTTTGAATGCCTCTTGTCCACATGTTGTAAAGTGTCTTTAGGACAATAGTTCTCAACCTGGGCAGTTTTGCTTGCAAGGAAACATTTGGCAGTCTTTGGAGACATTTTTGATTATCAAGACTAAGAGGAGGGGTGCTGCAGGCATCTAGTGGGTAGAGACCAGGGACACTGTTAAGCATCCTACAATGCAAAAACAGATTCCCACCCACCCTATTACAAAGTATTATCCAAATTACACACTTTGTTAATAGTACTGAGGTTGAGAAACTGTGCTCTGGGGCATATACTTAGAAGTGGAATTTATAAAGCCCTAGGGTGTGTGCAATTTTTTAGTATTATATGAAATGGGTTTCTGTAAAATGTGACAAAGATATTATTTCCAATTCAAATAAAGGTTTGGAATATCTGAAATTAAAGTTCTTTGGTGATGCTGGTATCTAACAGTTATAAGCAATTTATCTTAAACCAGATACAATAGCAGCATTATCCAGAGTTAACTAATTTGTTTACTTACCCAGAGGGTGCACATAATTTAACTTCATGAACTGAAATACAGTGGTACTTCCTGCCTGATTAAAAGAATGAGAGAAAAATTAGTGTGAAAAATGTAGAATTTTTTTCTGGCAAAGATGGTTGTTAAATATTGAAAGCTTAAAGGTTTGAAAATTTTTTCTAAGTGTGATTTAAATTCGTTTTTAAACTGAAGACAGGGGAATGAACCTAAAGAATTTTGAGACCCACTTTTAAGCCTATATGACCCATGACTCCCCCTTTGAAAATCTGATGAAAGTTATGGCCCCAGAACTATGTGCATGTTTGTGTACATACAATTTTGCATATGATTTTTGGGTGGTTTATGCATGCTCCTGAAGCCCGTTCATGGACCACTCCTACCTGCCTTGAACCTTCTAGATTTCCAGATTCAGGACTTTGGTAATAAAACTCTTAGAATGCTAAAAATAAGATATATGTATTTGAAACTATCACTGAATAGTAAAGACACAGCTCTATATTGTTCGTGTCTTATTTGCCAAATGCACAAGACTCTCAGTGATAGGATTCTATAAGTTCTTCAACATTAAATGAATGAATACAGGTCTCATTTTAATATCTATAACCTTCAATTTTTTTTCTTTTTACTAGGCATATGCAGCAGTGCTATGGCAACAAGCTAATGAAAACAGACACAATTCAACTGAAAAAGCATGTTTTGGAATCTCCCTACCAGAAGAAAGACTTAATGACTTTCGTGATGAACAAATTGGACAGTTGCAGGAGCTGATGCAAGAAGCCACTAAACCCAATAGGCAGTTTAGTATTACTGAGTCCAGGAGACCAAAATTTTAGTCTATACAATAAAGTTTAACAAAGCATTTCAAATTCAGAGCCCCTTATTTTAACTATCATTGGTTTTGAAAATTTATTTCTTAAGCTTTTATCTGGGGATGAATGCTCTTTGTAATATACAGATCAGGATCATAAGTGGATGAAACTTTACATTATTGAAGTAACAGCACTTGCTGGATAGGATTTGTTTTTTGGATTGAACAAGAAAGAATGGCTCTAAAATGGACAAGCTTGTGAAATTTTGCCAAAAATTGTTTTATGTATAAATTCGTTTTAATGCTATTCTTGTTCAACCATTAGCTTCGTGGCTTTAGCTTTATAAGTATATTTATTATGATAATGATTGATTGATAGATGTAGAATTCTGAGGTTATTATTTAATTTCCATTTGCATGGAATATCTTTTTCCATCCCCTCACTTTCAATCTGTATGTGTCCCTGGATCTGAAGTGGGTCTCTTGTAGACAGCATATATAAGGGTCTTGTTTTCATATCCAGCCAGTCTGTGTCTTTTGGTTGGAGCATTTAATCCATTTACATTTAAGGAAATTACCAATATGCATGTTCTTACTGCCATTTTATTAATTGTTTTGGATTTGTTTTTGTAGGTCTTTTTTCTTTTCCTCATTTTATTTATTGGCTGTGTTGGGTCTTTGTTGCTGTGTGTGGGCTTTCTCTAGTTGCAGTGACTGGGGGCTACCCTTCATTGCAGTGCATGGGCTTCTCGTTGCAGTGACTTCTCTTGTTGCAGAGCACAGGCTCTAGGCTTCAGTAGTTATGGCTTGCAGGCTCTACAGTACAGGGTCAGTAGTTGTGGCACATGGGCTCAGTTGCTCTGTGGCATGTCCCAGACTAGGGATCAAACCTGTGACCCCTGCTTTGGCAGGCAGATTCTTAACCACTTTGCCACCAGGGAAGGCCCTTTTTTTTTTTACCCCCTTCCTCTGTTGTGCTCTTCTCTTGTGATTTGATGACTATCTTTAGTGTTGTGTTTGGATTGCTTTTTCTTTTTTGTGTGTGCATCGTAGTTTTGGTTTGCAGTTACCATGCAGTTTTGATTTAGTAGTCTATATATATATAAGATTGTTTTAAGTTGCTGGTCTCAATTTCAAATGCATTTCCAATATCCTGCATTAGTAACTCTCTTCATGATTGCTGGTTTTGATATATTTGTGTGTGGATGATTTCCTGCCTTTACTGTATGTTTGCCTTTACTGGTGAGCTTTCCCATTCATAATTTTCTTGTTTCTACTTGCAGCCTTTTCTTTTCCATCTGGAGAAGTTCCTTTAGCATTTGTTGTGAAGCTAGTTTGGTGATGCTGAATTCTCTTAGCTTTTGCTTGTCTGTAAAGCTTTAGATTTCTCCATCCAATCTGAATGAGAGTTTTGCTGGCTATTCTTGATTGTAGGTTTTGCTGGCTATTCTTGATTGTAGGTTTTTTCCTTTCATCACTTTAATTATATCATGCCACTCCCTGTGGCCTGCAGAGTTTCTGCTGAAAAATCAGCTGATTGTGATTTTGGAGTTTTTGCGAGAGGAGGTGAGCTCAAGTCCAGCAAGGTTATTATTTAAATACATTGTTATCCTGAAAATTTCATCACTTCTGCTTTAATAATACATATGATTATTCTTTTAAATGTCCCTTCTCCCTGAGTCATTGTTTATTTACAATGAAAGGTTAAAAAGAAGCTTTAGGATTCAGTATTATACATATTACCATTTGTCTACTAGATTTTACAGTGTTTAATATTTCTCTGGTGTTTGTTAATAACAGATGACCCCTTTAATTTGTAGTTACCTTGAGAATCTCATTTATGGCCTAATTCATGGGGAGATAAAAACACTTTCATTATTTTTTTCTTACACTTAAGTCAATTTATACACTGAAAAGAAAAACATTTTGGAATGTGACTGGGATTATGAATTTAAAAAAATATTGTACACTAAAATAACTTGCATATATAATTATGTATGTGTACTTTGATTTTTTTTTAACACCTTTATTGGAGTACAGTTGCTTTACAATGGTGTTAGTTTCTGCTTTACAACAAAGTGAATCAGTTATACATATACATGTTCCAATATTTCTTCCCTCTTGCTTCTCCCTCCCTCTTTCCCACCCTCCCTATCCCACCTCTCTAGGTGGTCACAAAGCACTGAGCTGATCTCCCTGTGCTATGCAGCTGCTTCCCACTAGCTATCTACCTTACGTTTGGTACTGTATATATGTCCATGCCACTCTCTCACTTTGTCCCAGCTTACCCTTCCCCCTCCCCATATCCTCAAGTTCATTCTCTAGTAGGTCTGTGTCTTTATTCCCGTCTTACCTCTAGGTTTTTCATGACCTGTACTCTGAAATTCTTAAGTGATCATTTTTCAGATGCAATTGTGTTTATGTCAGCTTTTCAAAATATTAATTCATATTTGCTCTGTTTTTCTATCTTGTGCTTTCTCTGTGTGTATGGCTGCTGGGTCCCTCAGTCCTTTCTTCTATTCCTCTCTGATCAGTCTATAGACTGATCAGTGAGTCTTTTCTCATACATCAGTCAGTAATTAGTCTTTACATTATAACAGGCTCCAGGAATAAAACAATGAATAAGGTAAAGCTCTTGCCCTGAAGTTAGTCTTAACAGTGCATTCAGGAACCCTGTTTCATCATGAACGAATACGTTATGTTCTCAAACTCTTTATAGTACTATCTTTTTTATCTTCTTGGTTAATAGAAACCTAACACCTGCGAGGACACTGCTTCTTTGTGTCTTGTGATGTGGGAGTTGGGGATCCTTTAGAACTCACTGGAACATAGAACCCCCTCCTGTTGTCCCTTTCAGCCCATCACTGTGTCACCCTTACTTAAGAAATCTTTCATTTGTAGTATTTTCTTTTTGGTTATACATTTTCTTGTTCTTTGGTACCTGGCTCATACCTCTTCATCTCATGTCTTGCCATCATTCTGGCGACATTAGTACTAATCTATGTGGTTGACTTACGTAGTAGCCAGATGGTTCTTTGATGGTTCATTATTCACTTTCACTAATCCAACCACCCATTTTCTTGGCTACACTTAAACCTGCTTTATTCAAAACTGAATAAAGCTCCAATTCTGAAATTATGGATTACTACATTCCATGCTTTTGTCATTGCATCTTAATGTGATGAGTTTTTTTACTCCTGCACCTGGGTATTCTTTCAACAAATACCAAAGAACCTTAATATGCCAGGCATCATTTTAGAGACTGGGATACAGCAGTTATCGAAGAAAAAATGTCTACCCCTATGGAATTTACATTCTAAAGGAGGGAAACAAAATACATAAATAAAATAGGTAGGGTGGTTAGAACTATGAAGAAATAAAGCAAGGATAGGGGATAGAGCTGTGGTTCCCAAAATATGAACTGAGATTCCCCAGGGCACCACAGAGAACCACAGCGGTGCTGCAGGATATTTCAAATTTTTCAGGAAATCACAGCCATATTTATTGGACACCACACAGTTACTAGTTTGAGGTATTTCAGTTTCACTGTTGGATTGCAACATTCTTTTGGATGGCATATCTTTGTAAACCTAGGCTTTAGCAATTGCTGTGAGAAAAGCAAATACCACACAAAAATTAGTGACAGAAAATTTCCAGTATGATTACAGTGTTTGAGAAGCTGTGTAGTGTCCAGTAGGTGCTAAATTGTTTGTTAGTACTTAAATACCTACTGAGTTGTTTGAACTATGTAGTGAAACTGTTGTGGGGTTTTGTTTTGTTTGCTGTAGGTGTGCTGTGTAAATACTGAGACACTAAGAGTGTGGGAACTGATGAAATCAGCAGCATGTCAGAGAGTGGTCTGTAACTGTGAACTCATTAGTCTTTGACCACTCAGTTTGTTCAGTATCATTCCTTTACTGCCTTCATTTCCACCCCAATCTCCCCTAGTTTCTGTGATCTTTCACTTCATCCAGCCATTTAGCGATAACCCTCAATGTCACTGTCTCCTTTTCCTTTTACCTCATCTGCTGCTCTCACCAAGGTAACCACTCACTTGCCAAAATTAATAGGGTATTAATCAGTATAAGATTGATATGTTAGGGACTCCCCTGGTGGCACAGTGGTTAAGAATCCGCCTGCCAATGCAGGGGACACGGGTTCGAGCCCTGGTCCAGGAAGGTCCCACATGCTGCAGCGCAACTAAGTCCATGTGTCACAAATACTGAGCCTGCACTCCAGAGCCCACAAGCCACAACTACTGAGCCTGCGCGCCACAACTAGAGAAAGCCTGCATGCAGCAAAGAAGACCCAATGCAGCCAAAAATAAATAAATAAATTTTAAAAAAAAAGGATTGTTATATTATCCTGTGAGGCTTCACAGTATTTACTCTCTCCTGCTTTTAACTCACTCCTGCTTGGTTTGTATACTGCCTAATTCTCCTTTAGGTTATAACTTTTCTCGTTTTTAAAAAAGTGATGTCCTCTGGGATTTCATCTTTAGGACTCCTACTTTACACATCCATTGCTTCAGATATTAGCTATACTCTTAAATCTATAACACCAACCTAAATCTCATTTCTTACCTTCAGATCTGTGTTTAAAATTCTGTTTGTCATTTTCCAACTCATATTTAAAATTACTTTTCTTCCCTCCTCAGGGAATGAATGATATTAACATATACTCAGTGCAGAATTCTGTAACTTAGCCTAGATGTTCACAATTTTCCTGGAGGCCTCCCTCTCATTATTCAATTCTGACAACTCCATGTGGTGGACTGCAAAATAGCCATAGTTCTCTATCGCTCCTAGTACCCATGCCCATTGCAGTGTGACTTTGCAGTTCCTCCCGTCAGGAATTCCATCCGTGTTAGAATTCTGCAAACCTGGAACTGGCCTTGTTTCTTGATTTGCTAAAAAGAATGTGGGTAATGACAGTATGCCAACTCAGGCTCTAGGCCTCAGAGCCTTGTACACTTCCACCTGCACTACTGGAAACCTACCCGGCTACCATGTGAACAAACTTGGTCTTGTGGAAAATGTGGAGCAGAGATGAAGCCATCCTAGACCAGCCAGCTCTTAGCCAACTGCAGTTACATGAATAATCCCAGCCAAGCC